CCACCGTATAACCTTGTTTATTTCCTTCAGGATTTTTTATATATTAATCATGTTTCCCCTCGTTTTTTTATTTCCCAGTGAAGTGAGGCTTAAATGCCTCAATGTATTTCATAACTCATACCTCTAGGCTCTGAGACCAGTCTGATGGCATATATATATTTTTTTAGGCCCGGGAGCATGCCCGGGAATTGATCCCGGGCTCTTAGGACTACGAATCCCGAGCGCTGTCCACTCAGCCGCGAGGACCCCTGTGTGTGTGTGTGTGTACTCACCTAGTTGTGCTTGCGGGGGGGTTGAGGGTTGGCTCTTTGGTCCAGCGCACGTGTGTGTGCGTGTGCGTGTGTGTGTGTGTGTGTGTGTGTGTGTGTGTGTGTGTGAGTGTGTGTGTGCGCGCGCCTCAGCAACGCCTCGAAAGGGCGGAAGTAGCCGGGAATCGAACCGCGGCGGACACGAACGCCACCATTCGTGAGCGCCCAACAAAAAAAAAAATGAAAGCTCGCTCGCGGCCTTGAATCTTCCAACACGCCATAACAGACTTCAGAAAACCCTCTCCGTTCGTACACATTGTTGGAACCTCATCATTCTAAACTAACCTAATTGACTCTGGCTGTCTAATTGGCCAATTAACTTCCGCGAATATTTGACCGGCGTTCTGAGGGTCAAATACGTAAATAAGTAACTTACTTACGCGTAAAGTACCTTTACTTACGTGTGTGTTTGTGTTCTAGGCTGAGGGAAGTTGGTTGTAGTTTGGTAAGTCATGTATTACTGGCGATTTTGTCTCTGTTGTATTCGGGAAAAATAGATCATTTTAAGCCTTTACCTAACGAAAAATATCTGATGGATTGTTGTGAAATATATCTGTTGGGGAGATTTAATATTCTGAGTATGTGTAGGTAAGGGAGAGAGAGAGAGAGAGAGAGAGAGAGAGAGAGAGAGAGAGAGAGAGAGAGAGAGAGAGAAACTAACTCTATACACTAATTAGTATCGTTATGTGAGAGAGGGTGTGGTAACCTTGTATTGAGAGTGGGGGGGGGGCTTCCTCAAGCTGGTAGTGGAACCCCCTCCTTCCCCCTCCCCCAAGTACTGGTACTCTGGGGCTTGGTACTGGTACTTCCTCCTTCTCTTCTTCTCTCCTCCTCTACACACTCTGCTTCTTCCTCTCTTCTCTATTCCTATCTCTTGAACTTCATGAATTGACGTAGTTACGAGTAGATTTCCTTCTATGGGAGAACGTGAGGAGGGAGGGAATGAGGGAGAGAAGGAGGGAGGGAGAGAAGAAGATAGAGAGGGAGGGAGGGAGGTAGGGAATTAGAGAGAAGTAATAGAGAGAACAGGCCACTATACTGTGTTAGCACAAGCATCTTAGACAATAACATTCTGGGAAAATATTTTCTCATCTGACATTCGAACCGTTCACACGATATTCGATCCATTCACACGATATTCGAACCATTCACACGATATTCGAACCATTCACACGATATTCGATCCATTCACACGATATTCGAACCGTTCACACGATATTCGAACCGTTCACACGATATTCAAACCATTCACACGATATTCGAACCATTCACACGACATTCGAACCGTTCACACGATATTCGAACCATTCACACGATATTCGATCCATTCACACGATATTCAAACCCTTCACCTGACATCCGAACCATTCACCCAACATCCGAACCATTCACCTGACATCCGAACCATTCACCCAACATCCGAACCATTCACCCAACATCCGGACCATTCACCCAACATCCGGACCATTCACCCAACATCCGGACCATTCACCCAACATCCGGACCATTCACCCAACATCCGAACCATTCACCCAACATCCGAACCATTCACCCAACATCCGAACCATTCACCCAACATCCGAACCATTCAATATTATTTTGTCTATAGTTAGGCCTTGGTTAGGTTGCGTGTTTAGGTAATTCTGTCGATAATTTGTAATTACAATTCGAAAGTGAAGTATTTCAACCTGTCCTCTGGGAAAGTGTCCTCTAACTAACGACCGATCCCAATGTCGTACCCCATAAATAGTTATTTTCACATGCAAATTATGTTATATATTTCAGAATTTTGTTCATAATTAGGCCTGATATAGGTTAGGGTTAGATGCGTGGGGTTCTTTCGGCAAATTATTTTTATTTGCAGTACGTGGGTGAAGTATTTTATCGAGGGGGGGAGATTCGAACAGCGTTCGTCAGCGAAGCGCTGTTCGAATAATGTTCGAAGGTCATCAGTTATGTGTAAACAAGTTTTTTTTTTTATTTATAAACAACAGAAGGTTTTGTCGGGTAGGTTAACAAGCATTTGACCTTTATTGATGAGGTCGGGGCTGTGTTGACGAGAACGGGTCGTTCAATATTTATAGAAGCCGGTTCGAAATTGCTTCGAATGAGCCACAAACACATTCACTAAACACACAACTCACACTTGAATGACTCACGACTCAAAGTCTCGAACCCTGGCGTCCAGAGAA